CGAGGGCGGCAAGACGGCCTTGCACGTGGCCTGCGAACTGGTGAGACCCGAGTGCTTGCTCCTGCTGCTCGGGCACGGCGCGTCGCCCTGCCTGCACGACTCTTCCGGAAATACGCCCCTCGACACCCTGCTGCAGCAGATCGCCCAAACGCCGGCCGTTAATATGCGTGCCAAGCTCCTCTGCCTCGACTGCCTCTTCTTCTTCGTGCCTCAAGACCTGCAGTTCCCGATGAAACAACAGCTGTTGGACAATCGGCAACGGTGGCAGGACCTCTTAGGGGAGAACCGGTTCCAGTGCCTGGTGGGCTTGGCCCCCCCATCGCTTTTTGTCAGAGCCATGCGCGTTTTAATCAGGACCATTTCGCCTGAGCAGTTCCCGGAGGCTCTGGACGATCTGCCTCTGCCGCATTTTCTAAAGCCTTTGGACTTGAAACTGGAGAGCTAGGGGGTTTGTACCAGAGCCTCCCGCTCACAGGACAGAAATAGACTATTGTGCTAAAACTGTATCGGTACACAGAGCTGCTAATGCAGCAGCAAAGAGCCTGTTTTAATTAGAACTGTGTTTTTTAAAGGAATGGTATCTGGCACTTTACAATATATTTTATTTAAAGATTCTTGTGGTGAGGTGTGGTCAACACTGCATTTTATAGAAAAACATTATATGGCATGTACAATTGAGGGTGTGTGGGAGAATGTATTTGTAAATGCATCTAAATAAACCAGTGGCAGATATGATCAAAATACAAATCAAGCAGCTGAAAAATCTGAAATGGTATATGCCTTGAAAAAGTGTGCATGTTGGGGGGGGGGTAATGTATCTTTTAGTTAGGATTTCCCTGTTACATAAGCTTAGCAGTCCTGGAACAGGATGACTCCTTTTTTACAGCTCTCCTAATACATCTTGGCAGGGAGGCAGGTTTTTTTTAAAGGCACAGATGAAAACTTCCTAATCTTGTACACAAAACCAAAGAGAAGCCAGATACTATTAAAATCTCCCTAAACAAGCCTGGCAGAGATATGCAGCTGAACAAAATATAGTTTTAAATATGCATAAATAACAGTTGGTTTCCTTGCAAAGTTCTTTCTGCTCCTCTTGAAAAGCCCAGGGTGCTGCTTGCCATGCAGAGAGAGGGGCAGGCTCAGGAGCACCCAGCTTCCCTCTGACCAAAGAGATTCCCATGCTGGAAGGAGGAAGGAAGAGACCCCACGGGCCCTCCGGGGGAATGCTGCGGCTGGAGGTGTTGTCACTAAAGAAGGATGGAAGCAGGGTGGCACAAAGCGGGAGAGCCAGCCTCCCGCTGTCTGCCCTCTGCTATGTCTGGAGGGGTTTTCTTGGGAGCGGCAATGGCACATGAGACCACAGCAGCATTTTTGCATGGGTTCCAGCTCTTCCACTGCCAATTCCTAGGAGGACGTCATGGCTTAGTCTGTGGCAGTCTTGGTTCCCCTTGGGTAGGTACCAGAGGAGTATTACATATCAGGCCTCTGTCAAATATTCTGACCTTCTTCTGAGATGCTCCAAAGTATCCAAAACCATCCCAGATGCTGCAGATCAAAAAGCCCTTTTGGGGTAATGCCCTGCCTCCAAGGTTTATGTTGAGGCACATCAAGGTCATGAGCTAAGGGTACAGCTTGGGTTCTTCGCTTTGCAACCTTCACTCTGAGTCCTGGGCAGCCTCACGGCTGCTTCCCTGTAAAACGGGCACTGTCCCTGCCTGCTCGGCAGGGAGAGAGCTTTGGTGCCACCGCCAGCATGACAACCATAGAAATCTCCTAGGCCACAGGGCTTTAGCTTTGTCTCTATTGTTGGAAGTCATCAGTGAAACTATAGGGTTTTGTTTCAGTGCTTAAATGTGTAGCCAGGGAGTTGTTTGCCACTTGAACTATTTCAGCATTATAGTTCCCTTTGGGATCATCACTGAACTGATGGACTGAGAGATAAGAGGCCATGTTTAAGGCAGAAATTTCTTTATTCATGAATTAATTTTGGTTAGAAAAGAAACAAGAAAACCACAGAATGAGGCACTATAAACTGTTCCTGTTTCAGCAGAACAGAGTGGTATTTCAGCTAAAAAAAATCCCCATACTGCATGCACAATAAAAGATAGGCCATATTTCTGAAATTTGAGATACAACAGAAAGATCGCTATTCTTAGACTGATGGCACTGAAAATGTTTCCTAGAAAAGCAAATGTTCTTTTTCCCCAAGAAACGAGATGATATATGCTCAGACTAATTATCACAGGAAATTTAGCTCCCTTGCTGGAAAGCTGGCGTATAACAATTTAAAGCGTTCTCTTCAGTTACCTTGTTGATAATAAAAAACAGAGCAATGCGCAGAATTAATCCCTTTCTCAGTCGCATTAAAAAAAATCTATGTTGCTAAACTCTTCATTTGAGTACATTTTCCCCATTGCTTCTGGAATGATGCTGTGGAAGCATCTTCCATAAACAGATGAGAAGTAAAGTAGTCAGTTCAAACTCGCACATGGAAAAGTGTCTCGAGCTGGGGGAGGAAAGAGCTGTGGGTGGCAGGAGAGGAGCAGCGTGACAGGCTAGGCAGGACACCCACCCTCTCATCATCACTTGGAGTCTGTTAGAAAACTCCCCTTGTGTAAGCAAGGTAAAGCAGACTCCACTTGCTCCTCACCAGGAGCTGTTAGCAAAACAATAACTCAAGGGCAAAGCTGCCACTGTGATTCCCTGCAGCCCTCCCACCAGCTCTTGGGTAATTCACTTTGGCAAACACACAGGATCCCCTCAATATGTTGTGATGGGACCAGAGTCAGCTCACTGCTGTGCCCCTCCTGTTATTCTAGGACAGCAGTCAAGCCCGTCGCTGAGCCCATGCCGGGATTACTCTGCGGAAGGTCACTGACAGCCTCGCTATGCGCAGCTCCTTGGTGTGTGGGGGATGCTTAATCTGGAGAGGCTGATAAATGGGAACGCTGGGCAAAATGCTCTGATGACTACACAGATCACTCATTTAACTGCATCCTGGCTTGTTTTTCAAAGAGGTATAGCTTGGAAAAAGGCTGGGGCTTGTCAGTTTTTGGAACAGAAACCTTCTGTTTATCCACAGAACAAGCCATAGCGGCATCGGCTTTCCTCAGATGGACTGGCCAACGTGCTCCTGTCCTCTGCCACGGGACCTTGGGGTGTCGTGATGTGCAGCCTCCACGGCCCAGGCAGTTCTCCATCTGTTGAAGGCTGCCAGAAAAAAAGCCAGTTGCAACATCATTGCTAACCTTAATAAAGCAAATATGGACAACCATCAAGTCTCCGCAGAAGAGCACTACCAGTGCTAGAGTCAGGGAGCTCGTTGCAAAAGTGGAGGAAAGAAAATTCCCCCAAGTCCTAACAACATGAGAGCATCGTGGTGAAGATATATACTCAAACGCTTCCGTCTTACCTGCACAGATGAACAGCACAAGGTTATGTCCTCACCTGTGAGAAATGCTTTCAAAAGCATACAGAGTAGTATATGGAGCCAGCATTCCTGAAAAGCTTAGTTATAGCCAGCTCCTCTAAAAGGCTACTTGAGACCACAAAACAATGATGAAAGATTATAAATATTTTCCATGTGTTGCTCAAGCACTTCCAAAGAAAAATCATATGCTACTCACCTTTTTGTACAAAGTGGTTTGATTTGCTATGGCAAGTAAAGAAGGCTTGAAAGGTTTTCATTCTGAAAGCGAAGGGAGAGAGGAAGTACTGGGTTACTTCTATTTTTTCCTCTTTGCAATCTTCTCCTGTCTGCCGCATTCAGGAGTGAGAAAATGTGGTCAGTCCACAGTTTGCTGAAGGGGCAGAAGTCTATTGTACTTCTGAATACCTTGTTTAAAAGACGGATTTAGGATCTTTAACTATTTTCTTTTATCCAAAATATTATGTAGTTAACAAAGTTAAATTGACATGAGCATAAAACTAGGTGGCTTAATTAGTCTAAAAATCCCTTCCTATCACACCTGTCTCAGTCCTACTCTCTGATGTATTGTCCTGCCATAAAAGCTGGATCTTTGTTCCTGCCACGGCCATAACTTGGTATGACAATTGCCAGAGGCTATCAGAGGCGAGCATCTTAAATTTAGCAGCAGAGGCAGCTGTTGAGCACACCTGAAAATCACTCCCTTCACGAAGATGCATAGATACAGGAAATGAAGCCTAACATTAGATTCTAGGCTTGAAAACGTCACGGTGCACTCAGCACTGCACAAAGAATATCTGCTACAAATAGGTAAGGCTTACATATGTTTTCAGAGGGAGAGGAAGAGGCCTACTAATGAGCAGGCTCCTCCATGTGGACAATTCACGCAAGCTAAACTAAACAGGCATTAAGTGAAGGAGAAAAGGAAACAGGTAACCTTAGGAAGTGAGACTTGCCAGGATAGGAGGCCTTGGCTATAGGTAGGGCTGGAATTACAGACTGTTTCGAAAATGAAGTTGAAACTAGCAAGGAAGACGACCCAGGGCAGAGACAGGGAAAGGACAGAGACTAGAAAAGGGCCAGGGGGCCAGGTTTGATTCCTCATCCCAATCTGTACTATGCCTGACATTCAAATCAGTGGGGGGTTTCCACTTGCAGTACCACAAATCTGTTGACCTCAGCAGATCTTTGTGCATTGCATCACCCCATCTTTGGATCAGTGTTCCCAACTAGACAAACAAGGCACCCGTGCCACATGCTTAATATTTAAACAGCACTGTAAATCCTTGCAAACCAACTTTCCTATCACCTGTGTTAATAACAGTATCTCCATCGGTGGCTGGTGTCAGACACTCTTTAAGCTTAGATCTTCATTAATTCTTTACAAGGCTTCGGTGGTCTCTCCTCCAACTACAATGTGTGAAAAAGAAACTCTGCCTATAACGTGCTCAGAGCGCATCAAATTGTCCTTTATTGTCATGCACAAGAATCACACCTACGGTGTTGCAAGGCTGCTGCTTGCACTGCGTTGCTCCTGCTCTTTCCTTTCCATCAGACAGGTACACGTGCATGCACAGCACAAGAACAGAAGGGGCAGAGCTCTGTTGCAAAACACAACTCATCAGCCATAGCAGAAAATAGAAGTACAGCAGTTTGCACAAACATGACAGATCCCTCACTCCTACTAAAAGAAACGGATCCAGGTTCAGCTATAGTAAAAGTCTCCTCCACAGTCACCTTCATGACCTCTGAGAGGGCTGGTGCCTCTTTGCTAGTGGTTTGGTTGATAAATGGAAAGCTCACGTATATCAACAAAGCAAATTTTCAGAAGCCTCAATGACAGACTCATCACCCTCATGGGCTACTGTCAGGGTCAGAAGAGGCCATTGTGCTCATCCAGTCTAAACGCCTGTACAACACAGGCTAACAATTCCCCTGTTGGGCCTATCACATCTGATTGATTTGGAGCATCTTCTTTAAGTCCAACCTTGTTTTATAGATTTTTCAACAGTGGAGCACCCAAGGCCCTCCAAAGAGCTTGTGGCTGAACCAAGTAAACGTCCCACCCAGATCACCTCCGTATCTGGTCTATCCCTAAACTGCAAAACATCTCCTGCCCTCATCCCCCTCTTTTTCTTCTGTGAGAAAAAATAACCCCTTTCTTTCACTTGCAAATGCATTATTTCAAGTGAGAATTGTCTAGAACACGAGTTAGCAAGGAGGGAGGCAGAGACACACATCAGAGGAGCAGGGAATGCAGAAATGGGCTTTGATCTGTCCTATGCCTAGGCTTCAACTCTGTGAGCAGGGTTTCAGCAAGGGTCTGAGCCTGTAACTCAGGGCTCTGGGCGAGCTCAGATCAGATTAGCTATTGGAGGTTAACTTCCCTGTACTACAAGTCTAGTGGGAAATACTGTATAAGTCAACCTTTCTCCTTTAGGAAAACACATTAGCGCAGAAAAGTTCAAGATGCCAAGTTCGGGACTGATGCAACCCCTTCTGAGCGTTGGTGAGACATCTGCATGCCTGAGATACAAGCGGGGGCTGTGGGCTGCTCTCCCTTTCCCTGCACTCCCCAACTCGGGCGAACACAGCGGCAGGAAGCTCTGTGGATCTCAACAGGGAGGCAAG